GGGAAAAGAGAAAAATGTGCAAAAGTGTCTAGAGCATTATACCGCGCGCGACCATTACTTTTAATATAAATAAAATAACAAAATATGAGCGTCCGGCCGCCGCGCTAGGTCCGGACACTTTTATATTTCAACAGCGGCTCGCGCCCGCCCTACAACTACGCAAGATTTATTCTTTTACTTAAGCCATACTACTATTTCTACTTATCATTAACATTATCTTCTACAAGAAGTTTTTGACTTAAAATTGTTACGGTTTCCATTCAATAAGGATTTCTTCATAATGTCAAATTTATTTTGAAACAATGATAAACTTGTTTTTGCGTAAACACAGTTTTTGGTAGCAATACCCTTGTTAAATATGAAATGTAATTATGAGGTCTGTAATTTTTTAAGAATAAACATGTTGCAAATTCAGAAATGAGTATAGTGACGTGAATGTGCAATGGTTTCTCTTTTTGCATTAATAATACAAGCCAGTATTTGTCCGTAATCACGGGCTCGGCCGAAGACGCACTCACGCGGCCGTCTTAAGGGGCGCTTACATTACAATAAGCGCGTCAGATACGAGAGAAATGGGACCACACATTGAAAATTTCTTTATGTGTTTTGTTACTCACAACTCTTTCGTTTGTTTTTTAAGCTTCATCGTGATAGACTAGATAGATGATCAATGGATACTAATAAAAGGTAGACTTCTCGTCTTATTCATTTCATAAATCGTACATTAATTGATTTTTGGTTATACTGCTTTATTAGATTTTGTATTACGAATATCTTTACTTTACAAATCAAATCATCGACATCATATCTTTCTCTTTAAGCATTAATTTTATCTGACGTGTTAAAACGCTCCGCTTGTTCACAATGTAATCACACCCTTACTCGTCATATTGATTGTGTAAGTGGCGGTTGTATTGAACGATGACGACATTATTTTTGCGTATAATTTACCATGTTAAGATTTCATCCTTCATTGTCAGGAAAAAAACTTAATAAATATTAACACGCACAATGCCGTATACGTATAATTTGAAGCTCATTTCGCTTAACGCAGAATCACCGTCTCGACTTTCATGGTGGGTACAAGTTAAAAATTATTTACGGTATGAAACATTTTTATTATTTTTATTAAGTACCATGCATATAAATTTATTATTTACCATTAGGCTCTTGCGACCGTATTTGGCATGTTAAATCGCGATATCAGAAAAGGCTTTCAATATCCTAATATAGGATTAACAACAATGTATTTTGATGGATCTGCACATAAAAATTAAGGACGATGTTGATGAAATATATAACTAACAGTAAACTCACAATACATGCAATCTTGAAAAATATATAAAAGAGCTAATACTGTGTCTCAAACAACAAGCAACAAGCGGAAAGCATAAAGCGAATTAGTCCTTGCGTGCGCTTTCACTTCATGTTTTCCATACCGCCAATCGATCAATGTCCGAATTTAATAACTTAATTTTGACAAAACCAACGGTACTTCATATAAGAAAGACACCGAGCGACGTTGAACTACAAGCGTAACGTGTCATTATCGCCTCCATAACCGTTCCGGCTCGCGGCTAATTATCCAAACCTTGCGAGGCTTCGCCGACCAATAACCGTAGACGTCACCTTACAGCTATCGTAAAGCGCGTACGGAGCGAAGCGTGAACAAACTACGGCCTGCGTGTATATTGTATACAGTTCCGTATATAAGCCACAATAAAAACCGCGCGAAAACGGCAATAGCTATTTCAGAGGGTGATATTAAAATGCATGGAAATAAATTCGGCGTCGCATTCGGCCGTGCGGCTCCGGGGGTGCAGTAAAAATAAACAGCGACGCCATTAGAACTCACTTCCATATTCAAATTTATGAATGCGTCCGCTCCGCCCGGCCCCGGTCGCCCGCTCGCCGCCCTGCTTGCCGCTCTCGTCGGCGCACCGGTCATTTAAGCGATCGCCATAATAAATTTGACGATAAATTTAAAATTTTCACCCTCGTTTTACCTCCTGCGAATACGTCAGCGCGGAAATGTACGCGGCCGCTTTGTAATGTGCGAATAAAGCCGCCTGTACATTACACCTGAACACTGCCACTCTCACTGTTCAGGTAAATACACTTTACACATGTTTTATATCGATTTGATCACAAGAAATAATTAAAGCATTTATTAAATGGCCAGTGCTACCCATGCGCATGTAACGAGTTTAACTGTGACTTCTAAAAATTGATAGATTTTCTTCAGTAAAGGTATGCTTAAAAGATACAAACAACTTTGTATTTGCAGAGCATAACTAAGTAGAAGAAGCATCAGACTCGAACTCCATACCTCAAGTTACTACATCCACTGCGTTATAACATTACTAATCGAGTAAGGAAATAAATAATAGGCAAGTGTCTCGAGTAACGGACCGAGCGACGCGTGCTTTGGCTTAAATAAACAGACGTTTTCAAAAATCTTGTGAGTTTAAATCGAATGTGACTTGTGTTACTGAATCTATTTCTGTTTAACAGCCGCACTGATGGATCTGAAATAACAGCTCGCTGCACCAACGTTCAGGGAACTCGCATTAATTCATACGGGATTAGGTGTCATCATAAACAGGAATTATTTAGTCAACTGAGGTTAGAAACAACATGGCCGCGGTCGCTAACCGAATTGAGGTTTGTGTTTATCGATCAATATTTAACTACCGTACTAGTTTGACGTTACTGATTTATTTGTAACAAATCTTATTCTATCTTATATTGAGTTTAGACTTTTGCTTTCCTAATCTCAAGTTGCTATATATAAGGTGTACCTACATACAATTAGGAGATATACTTAAGTAAAGTAAAAAAAAAACAATAAATTAAGTAGGAATCGAAACTGGTGCATCACATTAAGTCAAGCGTAATTGGTACCTAAGTTAACAATGTTTAATTTTTCCATAACATTTCATCTGTATGTCAGATTTGTTTTTTTTTAAACCTAGCCAAGGCCTTAACTAGGTTCATCTGTATTAAAGGAGCCAATGACTTATATTTTATACATTAAACAAAAAAAAACAAATGTAATATATAAAAGAGCTTTCAAATAACATTACAATAGCACATCACAGTGATAGAAACTATTATTTATTAGACCAAAAAACTAATTACAACAGCTTCTGTATTGAGTGAATCCGAATGGTATCATGACTTGCATTATGAAATTATCGAGGTTCGATTCCGGAGAAAAAAAATAAACAAGGTCCTGTTAGCTGCAGGTCACGTAACGAGGGTGTTCGAAGCTTCGCGGGATGGTAGCATCGATGACTGGCACAATTCTACAAAATTGCTTCTATCACATTAATATCGGATTCGGGCCGCCCCGGGAGTCGAACCATATACCTATTTAATTTAAGTCGCACAAAGCGATCGACACGACCGCTACGATAGCGGAATCGCGAAGTCGTTTAAAAAATTAAAAATGGGAAATACGATTGGATCTAGTTTGGGGTGTCAATGGAGGGCATTTGACACAGACACCCCTCTACGCCCCGCAGTCGCCGAGCGCTTGCCGTTGCCACAGGAAACATGCTCGTTACTTTTTAAACCGTATTTATCCCTAACGTGCATTTTAATTGTTAGTGTCTTTTATACCAATTATCTCTTAGCGAAATAAACATGGGAATCTTGTGTTGTCATCTCAGAACTTTTTCTTTTAATATAATCATCAATGGTACCAAGTTTGGGATCTTGAGATGACATCTTCCTTCGATTTCACACACACATACACTCAAGAATACTTTAATATGGTTTTTCAAAAGTCCAACTTTTAATATGATGTAAGCAATATAATTTATAATTTCAATATACGTAGATATTATGTTACTATCACTTCTGGTCCAGCAGCTTTTTTTTATTTATTGGTTTTAAACAAACATATAAGTAACTAATCTTTCCACTTTTATAACATTTGTGTAGACTATCAAAACTAAAATTTTAAGGTTAACCTTCCTAAGAACGTAAAGATTAGAAAACATGCTCAAAAGCTTCCTCATCAGTTGTATAAAAAGTATAAATAAATCCTATTTTATTGAATAACCTAAAAAAAATCAGCCTACAAACTTAATTATTTCTAAATGAAACATTGAAGGTGCAGGAACTTGTTTCGTATCTACTTTCATACTAGAACTACATAAAAAGTACGTTTTTTGTTTTTGAAGAATAAAGTTTATGCACATATTTAATTAATTTAAAAATGTTTAATTGGACTTATCTTAATTATTGTGTTTCGAAAATATTGATGAGTCAATAAACATTTAAATCTGGAACCCTAACTTATATTTTTATTTTCCAAACTAAGAAACTATATTGTCATGTTAATGACAGTTGATTTGATCTATCTGGATCAAGTTCTTTTATTTTCCTAAAACAATAAGTTCTATAACATATTGAAAACAAAGATTTAAATTAGAAAAAATTGTCAAGGAATTAAATAAAAATTAAACATTATAAATGTTTATTACAAACTAACTTTTGAACATTGATAAAGTTATAAATAGATTCTGTTCGACTTAATAGAGTGAGTTAACATCGGTCGCTAACGCACTCACTAGTCGGCCGAGATGCTTTACGCCGATCAAAAGACGGACAAGAAAATTGATAAATGTAGGATTATAACTTACAAAGTGCAGCTTCAATTAGCGAATGTGGGAGGGCGGCGGATGGCGGGTGGCGGGCAGCGCGGGCTGCGGAGCCGCCATCTAGCGAGCGACAGCGCCGCCCACCGCCGCGGCCGCGAGGCCACATGTCACTTATGAATATGAGGCGTTATGATTATGAAAATATGCTCCGCCCCGAATATGGAATATGGAGGAGGGGGTCCGGGCAGGCGCGTGCGAATGGGCGAAGTTTGATTTATGAGCCGGGCGCGGCCCCGCCTCTCTGTCATAACCGAGGACCGGTGCGCGCGCGGCCGCCGCCCGCCGCCCGCCGCTCGCCGCTCGCGCTCAGTCCCGCTTCGGATGGCGAGTGGTGCGGCCGTCGTAGCACGCTCGCAACCCGCGATAGAACGAGTCGCGCCCGGCCTTACGGCACAGTGCCGCGAGTGAGCGCCCTCCTGACGCCCGAGCTGCCATGCGCCGGCGGTGAGCCCGCCGCGCCGCAGTCATGCCGCGCGTCAAGCCCGCCACCGTGCGCCGCGTCTCCATCGGTACTCATCACTCCGTCACCTCGTACACCACTCCACACTCGACACCGACTCTGCCGTGACTTAGCCCGCGGCCGCTGCCGGAACACCCGGCACCGGCACCCTCTCGCGATGATTCAGTTCGCCACAGTAAAGTTTGCAATACATCAAAAAGTGAGCACTAAAATTCGCCCACGACGCGGTGAGTAAACAGTGCAGTGAATTTCCGCGCTTAAATTATTCGAGCTTTCGTCGAGTAGCCGTAGCCGGTGCGGAGCGGCGCGGCCGCATCCAGGTGTTCCTATAAAATCTTATTTATTCCGGTGACAAAACAACGTCGTGTCAAAACAAAGTTTGATCGTTCTATCTGAAGGTAGCTTGCTGAGCTTTTCCTAGTAAGCTTTTGAAAGCAACTGAGTATTTCATTGGCTTTCAAAAAATATTAGGGCCAATATTATTTTTATGGAATATTTGACGCCGTAAGTAATACTTTTTTTTTAAGTTTTAATGATGAAAAAAAACGTGAAATATAAAGCTGTGCTCGTAATAAAATAATGAATGGAAATTCTACAACTTTAACTAACGTTTGCTTCGACTTCGTGACTTTTGTTTTCTTTGCCTAAAAACTATGCAATAGTATGTTGCAACTGAGAGATATTTTAAAAAAAGGTTTACTTCTATATTTTTTTAATTTCAAATTTATCACCTAAAAGTCTAAATCAGGAGATAAGCTATTCGCCAAAAGTTATTCTAACTTGAAAAGTGAAAAAAAAAAAGATTTTAAAAAATAATTCAGAGGATGAAAGTCAGATAGATTTAGTTTGTTATTCTTTAAATTTCATCGTCAACGCAGACGAAGTCTTGGGCGATAGCTTGAAGCTATTTAAAAAAAAACTATAAATCCGTAAATTTAAAAAAAAATGCTTAAAAAGAAAAAGAATCCAAGGGCGATAAGTTACCTGTGTACTTAATGTTGTGTTATTCTGAAACAATAGTTAAATCGTTTTAATTGATGACGGAAGTTGTAATACTGACATTTTTTACACCTTTAAAACAATTTTTTCGTCGTTTCCAATGTCATTTAATGAATAAAATTTATTTTATAGCAGTATAATGACATGCATTTCTATTTAAAATAAATGGATATTTTTATTTGAAGGGCATAAGTAATAATAAAATATTATGCTAGTACCCACGTAATTTTTTCCAATGATTAAATAAAAAATGTATATAATACTTGTTTATGAAATTATTGCAGCCAACTTTATATACTTATTTTATTTAATGAGCTCATTATATATAAAAGCTCAAACATATATTGCCTATTTTGTTTAGGGACTAATAGATGATAAATAAATTAACTTGTTTTCTCAATAAGGCTATTCTACATATACTTTTCATATCAGATATCCCGCTGGTTGGCAGCCTTAAGCGATGGGCGGAAGGGGAGGGGATATCAGGGTCTTTTCCTCTGTAAAACATGAACATACCTAGATTATTTAATATGCGGGTTTTTATTAGTTGCGCCTCAAAATAACATGCAAATATATGCCGACTCGTGTAGCAAATGAAATAAATTTGTTGCCTGTAAATTCCCTTGCTCTATATTTTTTTTATATAACATATACTTCATTATATCAAATTATGCTTATGTTTTATGTTAATATATTTATAAAAAAAATATCATGGCGGCACATTTATATTTGTAGGAAGTAAAAATTCTATTCATAGTAAGCAAAAACTTTCGTTGTATCTAAAAAAAATTTTATTAATGTTTCGAGCACAATATTTTTCAGTGTCCCTAAAACATTCTTTCTTAATCTGTCCAATGATTAAGGAAAACATGTTTATATGAAAAATGCATTGTAAATTAACTTATTTTACTCATAACCCCATGGGCTTAGTAATTATAAGGATCGTCTTTTTAGAATAAGTATTTCAAGTATTCTTGGTTTGATTCTTTAACGAAACATTTATTTTATTTTTAAATACAAGGAATAATTTGTTTGTTTGTTTGACACTGAACACTATTTAAAACGAAAAATTTATCAAAAATGTCCACCCATATTTGATACAAACCAGTTAGAGTTGATTATATACTTATATGAACATAAATATTATAATACTCATCCATTAATATTTATTATAAAAATAAATATTTAATTCAATTTTTAATCTTAGCTGAGTATGTTTATTTAAGTATGATATTTATCGTCTACTAGAATAAATAAACTTAAAATAAACACGTAACTATTATGAAACGAATCGTTCTCGAAATAGAGTCGGTATTCGTTCGACCGGTTTTTTTTTCGTCTATTTGACACATTTTGATAAAGGCCTTAAGTGGCTTTATATTACAGAATGACGTGCCGTCAAATTTTATTAATCTTGTGCTCCGCTCTTTTACGACTGATCTATAAATTTCTTAAGCGGCATTTTATCTATTCTTACTATTGAAACCCGTCCACGTCATTTTCATGAAACATTTAGTTATTGTTTGAAATAAAGACCTGAACAACAATCATTTAAAAACTTGTTAGTGATTATCAACAGGGGTAACCATAGCTATTACTTTTGTCCTCGATTTCTAACTTAACGTTATTTGCAGAAGGAATCTTAATCTGTTATTGCTACTTACGTAATCAAAAATACTTACCTTGAGTTTCTGAGACTGAAATCTCTGAATAAATCATATTCTGTCATTACCTTTGACAAAATGGAGATAACAATGTGTTTTAAGTAAGGATTTTGGTCTCAGAAACCCACGGTTAACCATCTACCAAATCTTTAATACACATTGGAACAAAATTGTTAACATTTGTAATATACGATATGACCCTTTAAGTCCAGTGGTTATATGGATGTTATGTTATGGGATTCGATTTCCAAAATTAATTTCGTAGTACCAAATACAATAATTTTTCTTTCAATCGCATTGTTTTTCTTTGCATTTATACGTATACAATTGGTTTTAGATCATACCTTTTACGTAAATATTAATTAAAGTCTAAGCGAATTAAGATTTGCTGTTTAAAAACGTATAAATCAATAATTATAAAATCAGTGTAGTAAATGTTTGTTCTCTATATTTCCAAGATAAATTAAAATAACGAAAACTATCAAACACAATCCGGTTCTATTTCGTACGGAAAATGAAATATTGGTATCTATGCATATTGCGTCCATTTACCTTGAATGATGAATAATAATGGCCGTATTGATGTTTAACTTTAGAATTTCTGTAAGTGGATTAATTGCTGACTTTTTAATGTATTGAAATATTTTAATAGCATTTATATTTAATGATAAGAAAGAACTAAATAGAGATAATATGCGTACTAAAGAAACAACTTGATTTCAACAACTTTTTATAATTATATTTGGTACCAGGTACTCAAACTTGTTCTCTGATGTCTCCATCGTTTTAGTAGGAGTCGAATTTACTTTATCTATTTTGAAAGTCTAGTAATTAAAGTAGGTAAATTGTACTTATATCTCGAAATATAAAAGATCTCTATATACACAAGTATCTTGCTTAAATCCTAAACTGAGTTAACAAAATAAAAATTATTGTACACATTTTTTGGAAATCTAAAAATATGTAATGAACGATGTTATCAAAGACACGATATTATCTGTATATTTTTAAACCAAAAAAAAGCGCACACTGGTCCGAAAATTGACAAATACTCTGTATAGTATTGTTACTCTTGTACAAGGGATTCGAATTGCAAAAACTTTTTTTGCATACATTCCGCCGGCCGCAGAGCTTTTTGAGTTTGCCGCTTACACAGTGGTAACGCGACAAACATAGATAATCCTTCTGGGCTAAATATTTAAAGGAAACGGTAGCTAGTCACAAATGATACGTCTTGTCCTTACCGAAACATTATCTCAGATTATAGCAGAGGCTTTGTCCACGAAGATTTGTTACGATGTAAACAACAAAAGTATTATAAAAAGGTACAAACATAATTCTAAACAAATTTTACTTTTAAATACGCTAGTTCAAAATAAAGATATCGCCCAGCGTTCGACCGTTAAAAATCTTATGGTGAAAGTCGAAAAATTCATAGCGATAAAGAAAATTTATACGTTTCGTGTTATTGACTTTTTTAATAACCGAATTATAATATCATAAAGATAAGTTCGTTGTGAAACAAGAGTTTAGTAAGATTTCATTCAACATTCCTAATAGAAGGTCCACGCTTGAAAGTTTACATTTAAATTTAATAAACCAATCAATACGATTTTGTGGCCAGTTAAGTTTATTTCAAAGACCTAAAGAATTTAAATAATTACACGAAAGAAAACAAAATTAATATAATATATAAGTTAATACACTTTGAAGTCTAAGAAAAACATATTTTAATATAGTAGTTGTTAGTATTTCGAATACTAAGGAAAAGCCTAAAGATTATGATAAAATCATTTTTAAACTTGAATTTATAATTATATTGCCTATTAAACGGTTGACTTTTATTTGGCCACATCTAGATATTATATTTGAAAAACCTTATTCGTTTGTTCTTTTCGTTTGTTTATTATTAAAATGTCAAATACGAAAGAACTTAAAGTAATTTAGTTAGTGAAATTAATAACTAACTATTATATTCTATTTTTTGTATAGAAATTTAAAGTTTAATTCCATTTAAATTAAAAAAAAATCTTCAATTTTTTTACTTTTTATTAAATTTTTAGTTATTGTCAGTGAACGTTTTGTCAGTAAATTGTTTAATATTCTAATATGACGAAATAAAACATACAGCAACGATCTTTGAATTATAACAATAGATAATTAGTTGTGTACCCATATCAAAGGTTAAATAGATTTCCTATACTATGAATTTAATATAATAGTTTAGTAAACACAATATGCCAGTGTCATTATATTCTACGTCTGAAAAATCTAGGCAAATAACTTGGTTAACTCCAGTATTATTTGAAAATAATGAATGAAACACGATGAATGTCAAAATACTTGTGTAAATACAAAATGATTATCTTATATCTATTTCGGTATG